AGGCGTCTGTTGAAATTTCTAAGTGTTCGTCGCCTTCCGGGAATTTTAGCATAGGTGCTTCAAGAAGTGCCTGTTTTAATCTTTCAAACACCGCATTGGCCTCTGCTGTCCAATTAAAGCGGATTAACTTTCTTTTTAACTGCAACAAGGGTTCGGCAATTTCAGGACGCTACGGCAATTTTATCACGTGACTACCGAAGTTCCTCCCTCCCCCTGCCTCGAGAAAAATGATCCAGAGAAACCCTTTCTTTAAATCGAAGGTAATTAAAATTTGAGTGCTTCTTGATTTGAAAATGAACGTGGAGGTCTGATTTTTGTAAAGTAGTAAAGAGTTATTTAGTTTCCACAAGTTTATTTTTTATCCTAGTGGTCAGACACTTTGCTAGTTACTCATTCGTCGGAAATAGTTGAATCCCTCGTCATTTAGCCATCTTATCACAGCGAACATTGCTCAGGGTGGCACCACATTGAGCGGCCGAATTACATTCGCAAGGAAGGTAAAGCTCCACCCTAGTTTTTGAACAAGAATTAAGGCGAGATCCAAGGATCTCCTACTCTCTTTTCCTACCTGCAACCTCTCCAGAGGACTTTCGGCTCCACAGTATTTTAAGTTCCTCCATGCCATAAAGATACCATACACTTACATTCATGCCCTTCCCCGGGACTCTAATTCGACCCCAAGTCTATCGCAGCTAGTTTCCCTTCCACCATGACACCAGAGCGGCAGGTAACAAATTTATGAAAATATTTAGCATGTGACAGAGTGGCACATATTAGCATATATTTTGGTAACATAAATTTTGGTACTTACGTATTAACGCAACCAGGCCAAAATTCGCATAAATCGCCAAATTTGGCGACCCTACTTACGGCAACCCTACGTGTTATGCGTAGTTTTTCGTAAATACAATGAGTTCGAATACAAGTGAGTTCGAAAATGCTGAATTTCCGCATGGAACTGTTAACACAAATAAACTTGTGATCCCAACACGGGAGGTTCACACACAACATGTAGAGCCATGGGGGCTCAGCCAAATGGCGCAACAAAAACAGAGAGGAACGCCCGTATCATCTTGACTCATACCTTATCGCATTTATATGGCGCCAAGCTCAGCTGTTAAAGCGTTTTCAATCAGTGCTAAAAGCAATAGCCAAAGATTTCCGCCGAAAAAATATTTGCAACTTATTCTTCGAAACCGGAAGGGTTTAATTGCTATTTATATTTTAAAACAAAATAATATAAAAAACTGTATTAAAAATTATCTGTAATTAATAAATGTACATTTCCTTTCTATTCATACTTTTTTACTCAAACTTACAAATCGCGCCAACCTGGTAGCGATAATACGTAAGTACCTAAATTTTAAAGTCACCTGACACTTGGCATAAGCAAATCTGTTTGTGCACAGTGCCAGACAACCACTCCTTTAGGACCTCTACGGAGTTAAGTAGATAGTAAGTAATTCTAAGCGAAATTTAATTGAGCATTCTGGACGTGATGTGTAATATAGTTTTACTTTTCATTGTTTCCGTCAATTAATATTCTCATAAAATAGTTTTTTAATTAATGGTATTTTTATTCTGATTAAGCTTCTTTTCCAAACCTTTTAAAAAATACTTGAAATGATTTCGATCATCGGATCATCAAAGATAGTTTCTTTGTCACTCAAAATTTAGGAAACACATTGTAATTAATCTTTTGATTATTAACATAAAGCGTGACCCAAAAAGATGTGTGTAGTTTAAATCTGCTCGTAAAACGAAACTACTAAAGGACTTTTATACCTCAAAGACAGACCTAACGTAGACACCGCTTAGTGTGCTCGCGTTAAAACTATCATTCGGATACTGTCATTGAATTGCCGAAGTTAAGCCCGATTGTATAAGACCTCCTGTGGAACGATGTCAGTCAACACCTCCTAACACGTGCCTGCGCCGAAGGCCCTACCCCCGATCGAAAACCGATGCTGTTCTTAATTGTATAAACATAACATGTTTAAATAAGATCCGAAAAGGTGTTAAAGAATTGAAAAGATTTTAAATTGAATAAAATTTTGTAAATAAGTGCTTAAAAGATGTAAGTTGTGCATCTGGAAAACATTCGAGCTGGTGCCTTATAAGTTGTAGTAAGATATATAATTGCAATATTACATATCAAGAGTGCGAAGAATAAAAATAAGGGTATATAACATTTTTTAATGTAAACATATGTTACGGTGAAACACCGAAATCTGGAGAATGTCGACTTTCGCCGGTGAATGTCAACATTCACATAGTCGCTTGGTGTATGTCCGAAATATTTTCCAAATACTCTTATTTCTGACTTACACCGGTAAATGTCGACATTCCCCTGTACTAATGTAATAGCTCCACATTTGACATGAGCGATACCACTAGACGATGTTGGCGGAATGGTGAACCATGGCCGCAAAAACTCAAGAAGGAAGCGGTAGGCCAGAGAAACGACGAACGTGAAGACCGAGCAATCACAGAGCGGCACTCACAGCCCCAGATGCATCATTATCATCGATTGACGTGCAACTAGTGCTTCAGTGACCGCAAAGACCATTCATAGACGGCTCACAGAAAGGGGGCTGAGGTCACGGCGCCCCTTGCGCCGACTACCATGACCTCTGTACAACGTCAAGCCCCTTTGCAGTGGCGTCGGGCTCATTCGCACTGGAATGTCAATGACTGGAGTACAATAGTCTTCAGTGATGAGTCCCGCTTTGAACTGAGCCCCCGATGACCAGCGAAGACGAGTCTGGAGACGCCCCGGACAGCGGTGTGATATCAATCTTACTCTCTTCCGGCAGTGCTTGCCGAACATTACCTTGGCCAGCAAGGTCGCCGGATCTCTCTCCTACTGAGCACGTTTGGAGCATTATGGGCAGGGCCCTCCAACTAGCTCGGGATGTTGACGATCTAACGCGCCAGTTGGACAGAGTTTGGCACAATATCTCTCAGGAGGACATCCGAAACCTCTATCAATTGATGCCAAGCCGAATAACTGCTTGCATAAGGGCCAGAGATGGACAAACGCGTTACTGACATTTTCCCTTTGTGAAGCTCTATCACTTCAATGAATCATCCAATTTTTCTCAAACTGTAACCATTTGTTTTTCTGTACATGTACATCACTTCTACCGATTTTCGTCCCATTCGGATAACTCCTTCTTAGTGCGTCGTTTTTTTTTTTTTTTTTTTTTTTTTTTTTTTTTTTTTTTTTTGTCTAAGAGTGTATTTTTTACTATACAGGACGACGAAGTTATATACTGTGGACACTGTATTTTGTTCCCTGTTTAACAGAACCGTAAAAAAGTACGGGTAGGAAAGTTTTACTTTTAAGAAGCACATTTCAATATCAAGAATAGAAATTATGCATACTTTATGGCTAATATTTCACCACATGTGCAGAAAAATAATGCAGTTACTGTGTAGAGTCTTCTAGTATGTTTTGGAGTCATACACTGTAGACCCTACTGGAAAGACTAAGTAGCGAATTCCAGCTAGATCTTGGGAGAACAGATGACTACAGAAGAACGTCTAAATAACCTTTTATTTGAACGTAACAGAAATGCACTCACTCGATGCTTGCAATTTACCACCGCTTGTGGTTAAATAACTTAAAAATAAGATGTACAATCACAATAAAGTAATATTGGCTACACGACTGGATGCTTCGTTATCTAAACCGCTTAATCAGCTGCACACAGCAAAGTCGAATCTAGAATATTAATATAATCTAAAGAGAGTGGTTAAGCACCAACTATTCACTTACACGAAGCTACTTCAAACACGCGGCATAAATTCGGAACTAACTGTCCTACTATAACTCTTAAAACCGCTGCTTAGATACTGTTTTCAGCTCACTTAGATTTACACACACGTCATCAAAATTTACATTCTGGCAGGAAACTGAAATCAGAAGAAAAAGAAAAGTTTCTGAAACTAAAAATAATTGGTTAGAATAAAATAAGGTCTTTACAACTGTTTAGCATAATGTTCTGGTGATTACATCATACTGAGCAGCAAGTGTTTAGAAAGTATGGCATCATCTTCTATCCAATGTTACTCTTTGACTTTTGTTGTTTATTCTGATATTTAGCGGGAATTTATCCCGCTTTTACCAGAGCCTCACGGAATCCCATGAAGGGTCTCACACTTAAAAGTCTATTACTGGTGAATCATCTTAGAGGATGGGAACTAAAAGGAATAAGAAGATGGAATCAGTATTCAAGTCAGCATGAATACTTCTGTTTCTCACATAATAAGGAGCTTGAGTAATGATTCTGAAGATCTTATTCTGTAGTTGCTGAATAATACGAATGTCTGAATAATACGAATGGATACTGATTTTCCATCTAGCACACTACTGCTCGATTTCAGGGACTTGTTTTTTGGAGTTTAGCTACGTAGTCAGGCCTTCGTGATTTAACCATGATCACCGTTTTATCTGCATATGAGTATTTGCATAGGGTAGAAAGAAGCTGCTGTGCGTCCTGAATAATCTCACTCCACCTGAATTACCACCTACGCAGCTTTAAAAGAAAATTAGGAATCACATGATGCATCCAAGAGGCACAGTACGAAAATTCAGATTTGTGCTGTTTCCCGTAAGCACGTATTAGAGTTCCTACTGTTTCAGTGAATTTATGAGAAATATTTTCATTCCTATATACCTTTTAGATTCCTTCAAAAACTATTAGAACAATTTTCAAAATATAGCTAAAAAAATTCATTTTAATGGTACTTTATTATTATTTTATTAACCTTTTTAAATTTACGTTCTTATTATTTTATTACATATTAAAATATACATTTGAAATAAAATAACTAGATAAAAATTTTATATAGCTTTCAGTTGTGCTAAATTACATTTCATTTCCCTTACATTTATTACCCACGTATTCAGGTGTTACTGGTACACCAAGTAATGATATACGGTTTGAGTATAAAAATCACTCAAGAAATTATCTGCATGTACTATATGATATATGATTTTAAAGTTTGGCAACGCTAGTGATTTAAGTCAACTAAGGTATTCCTTGCCGTATTTAGGAGAGTTTAGCCTGCAGTTAAAATGAGGTAAGGTTTTGCGATAAGTACTATGTACATATTAGAGCGAATGTTCTGTTGCTAAGAGATTAATTTATTTAAGTTTTCAAAATATAAATTATGTTGAGGTGCTTGTAAGCGGTGGTTTAGAATTACTTATCATTTTTCTGTGACTCTACAGCTAAAGATCTAAGTTTTTGCATTTAATACGTACATATAGTTAGGGTATCCATGTTACTTCCCATTCTTAACTGCAGCTGAAGAACTTCGGTACGTTTAAATAATTTGACTTATTTTACGTTTTAATCCGTAGATAAAATAGCTTAACGTACCAGATTTTTTTTTTTTTTTAAATTGTGAAAATATCTTAAATTTATTGCCAGCTTTCTAACAGGTTATACCTGCTCAAAATACTAAATATATTTCAAAATGTAAGCTAATTATAATACCAACATGTAAATTTACAAGAAAAGCAATAGGCGGTAGCTATAAATTTTCAATTTTTTTTTAATAGTTTGTTTTAAAAGACTAAATCTATTTCTAAACTACCCTTCCACGAATCCTGGTTCCAAGACTATCAAAGTGTAGTTCTGCAGTTCATTATACATCTGGAGGTGAGCATGTAACGATATTACTTAATGAATCGTAAGAGATCTAATACATCCCAATTCATATTTATAAAGATAATAAAATTTCAAAAAATATCGAAATATATATGTTACAGCAGCAAAAAAATTACTTAACGGACTGTAATATATTGAGTTTTGTGTTAATTAAATCTCAAGACTGAAGATTCACGATACTTCATGTGCCAATATATTTTCAGGAAAGTATTTTTCTACTTGATATTCGTCATTGAAGTCTGCAAAGAAGTCGTTTTTGCACAAGGAGCAGTAACTGCGAATCCACCGGTTGCACCTGCTCTTGCGTTAGGAGGCTTTGTCCAGGCACTGCTCGATATGCAGGTAATTCCAAAACTTAAAGTATGTAACTTATGTTTTTACAATATATTTCATAACAGGCCCAGGCTCACCAGCGGCCGAGCGGTAAAGTCGCTTAACACTGGTAATTCGGTCCGAGGTTCGAATCCCGGCGAACGTGCTGGATGGACGTTTTCATGGTTTCCCCATTTGTAACGTGTATACAAGTCGGTTTTCCTTAGAACGCCCTCCATGAAGGCATCCATCTCCTTAGGCAGATAGACCTCGAGGCTTTGCCGTAATCACAGAAACAAAACAAATCATAATAGGTCCATACATTAATGCTGAACTAAAACTTTGCGAAATCATTTAAGTTTCACAATTTAAAAATTTTGTACATTTTTTCAGTAAGCAAAAATGTGGCCTGCATGCATACATTTTAAACTGGTAATTCTAGATGAAATGCTAAGAAAATTCTAAGTGTAGCATATGAAATTTTAAATCAAATTGTAGCCGTTGTGTTGAGCAGTCGCTTAGCGAATAAACGCATATAGAGGAGTAAAATATTTTATATATAGTTGATTTACACGCTTAGAAGCTGGAAAAAGCCCATTCGTTTCCCAAATTTAAAACATTTTCAGAGCTTTTCTATCTAACCATTATCTAACCATTTTCTATCTAAACCATTAAAGCTGAACAATACTTTCAGTAATACAGTGTGTTCACGAAGTCACAAAAACTTAACTACAAACATTTACATAAATGTCGAAACCACGTTACTGATAATTCGGGAAGCTTATCCAACAAAAGACTTATTTCGAAGGACTCTTCAGATTTCCTTCTGTGCTTAGCCGCAACTGGCTAAATCGCGGAACACAAGTAGCTCGAGCCCGGCTAAAATCCCGGCGAAGGGTTTGACTGCACTTGTTTTTAGAAGTTTTATGCATATGTAAATTCAATAAGAACCAAATTTCACACAGAACGTCTTCCATGAAGGCATCCTCCCTTTAGTCAAATAACAAACCAGTCTTCCATTAGGCAGAAGCCATAATGCGATTTTCCATAATAATTCCTCTTCATGATGCACATTCAAGTTTACTAGTTACACTGTGACCTCTTCATATAATCTTCAAATTTTGCTTTAATCAAATTCGTAAGACTAATATTTTTCAACATGCGCTTCTATAACGTTCTCTAAAAATGGTTCATGCCTAGTGGTATCGGAATACATTGCATTACAAAAAGTATCTCCATAAAGCTTTTCGCAAAAGGTCAGTGCCTGGGCCACATACTGAAATTACCTGTCAGAGGATGAAAAATCTTATGTTCTTTTCTATAATGATTACCAGGAAACTATCTCTGCAACTGAGAGTTGCTTAATCAAATACTGGTGAAGAAACACTTTGTGTACAGGGTGGTCAATAAATATTATGAATGGCTGATTTATCAAAACTCTTAAGACCTAAGCAGCAACCAGTTTTTTTCCGCTCGGTATGAGGCGTTTCATTATCATGATGAAAAAGTACACTGTGACTCAGCAACTTGGGTCAAATAGTGGAAATATTTCATGAAATTAGTGTTGCATTGTAATATGATGCAATCGTCACATTCTCGTCTGGTCTCTCAAATGGATTAACAGCTGCAAAACGCAGAGCATTCTGCGTATTAGTTCTTGAATGGTAGCTTTGTTCACACTGCCTTAACACGGCCTCGGTTATCAGTAGCATTGTCCACCCAGTCAAGTATGGTAGTGTTACTTCTTGTACTTAATCAGTACGGTAGTGTTGCTTCTTAAGCCGTCATACATTGCACGAGTCCCCGAGCTTTCTCGGCATTTTTAGGGTCTTCACCTATACCAAATCTTTGGATAAATGCAAATTTGTGAAAATATGGTCTTCTAAATCCCCGGTCAGCGCTCCTATGTTCAGATGGCATTGTTGGAGACACCTTTTGCAATACTTCACAACTATTTTTATTATACCATAGCAGTTTTTGCCATATTGACTTCATGCATTTAGTTTTCACAATATTTGTAGAAAATAATATACGACGACGACAACACATCGAAGCCGCGGAAAGTATTAAATTTGAATCGGTAATAGCCGTATTGATATTTTAGCATGGTTTATTTACATTTATTATTTTAGTGTTATGTAGAATATCCGCATGTGGCTAAACATAGCTGTGTTTCTGAAATTATACACCACCTTTTTGCATCTTGTTGCAAAAAATTCAGGTACTTTCCGATTATCCGCACCCCTACATAAAATCGCCAACTGATTGGCTGAATATTTTAGGTTCATAGTTATATGGCCAATATTTATATTTTTAGGCAGTGGATATTGTTCAGCGAATTGACACCTAATTATAAAGCGCCAAAAACTCGCGTGTACTCAAACGTATGTCGTAAACACGTTACCTATTGTCTCAATGCAAACTCAAAAATACGTAGAAAACACTTATTTCTGTAGAATATCGAAACTGAAGATGTGGATAATCGGAAAGTATCAAACTTGATATTGCTATAAAAGTTTTTTAAAAAGCATTTAATATTAAACTTCATAGATTCGACCTCATGGAGGCTATTACGAAGAAAAGTACAAAGAAATCTTCCATGATGATGGCGCTCCAGAAGTTGTAGTTTTGGGCAAGCGACGCACTGATTCTCAACCAGAATTACAGTTTAAAGAAATCTTATCGCAAGATGGAAAATTGCTTCAAGATGCAACTCTCGGTAAAAACCCAAACCCTTGTTTTGAAAGTGACCGAATTCATCGCAATCGTTTACTGGCTTTGGTGTGTGCAATGCAGTTGAGAAATGTGAGTTTTAAAATTCAATATCCCTTTTCCCTCCACTCTTTTACTTTCAGCTATTTCACACACCTAGACATTTGTCTCAAGACTTTTCTCAGTTCTCCATACATTCCGACCGTTAAATGAATTAAATGTAATAACAGCAATGCATCTCTTCTTTTACTTCGTGCTTTTGCATGCTGTCAGCCACAATTCGAACCTTTCATGAAATATGTGATGTATGGGAGCATGGCTAAACTTACATAATTTAAACGGTACTCTTATAATCGGTATTTATAACAGAATTGTTAAAATTGATTAGAAGTTCAGGTATGTATTTGCAGTTTAAATTTTGAGTGTTTGCTTTCGCGATTTTGATGCACAAATTCAAATTGTTCGGGAGATTTATTAGAAGTAATCCTTAAAATAGTTGTGGTCAGTTTGCGGATTTTCCCAAACACAGAACGAGAATGTGCATTAAGTCATAACTTGAAAAAAGGGGACCGTTTTACATGTAATACCTATCTTATCTGAAGTAGTGTCCCAGTGTTGATGTTATCGCCCACTGAAAGGCACTGAGGAGATCTAGGTAGGCACTGCAAGTTCGAAGGGTAGTAAGAGGGAATTGGAAAGCAAGTAGTTTAATTTTTTTAATTCCAAAGGCATGGAAATTAAACTGTCCGGTTAAAAAAAACACTATCACAAATTCGTTCTTTTAGTAACATCGTGTTAATGATATAACTCTTTCATCTAATACTACTGCTTGCCGTGTCTGAATACTGCCTATGGGGTTTTTACTATAAATGCTTTCAACAGTTTTCACGTATTGCTTGATAAGTTTTTAATTAATGATTTGTTAAGTACAACAAATTTTTTAAAATTTTTAGTCGATGGCTGCAAATTACGTACAGAGGACGTCTGATACATTTGTTTGGAGAGTGGGGGGGGGGAGCAATGAGCCAAAAGAAAAAGGGTTGGTAAACTCCTGGCCAAAACAACGTTATAATATGGTTTTCGTTCTAGTATGAAATGTGTAACGTAGATAAGTTTGTTTCCTAATAGAAAGTCCTCAACGAAGGCATCCCTTTGCTCAGGAAGGTAACCCTCGCGTACTTTACCAGGATCAAATAAACCTAATCAAACTAATCTTTCTTCTTTACTGTATTTCTTTCAATATTTGTTGTGTAAAAATTCACTTTATGTTGATAATCTTTCACTAACAGACTTAAAATTAGCAAATGTAGCTGAATGAACCATATCACGAATCTTCAGTACACGTTAAGCGTTTCTGTAACTTTGGTAAAGTTTTTAATTTATCTATACGTTCATTAACCGACAGAAAATGTAACACTATAAAGATCGGGTTGCATAATTATACACACCGCAAGAAAGACTCGTTTGAATGATTTATGAAAAGGATCCGATATGCAAGTTTGCCCTGTGATAACTTAGCAAGATGAAAGGCAGGAAAATGCGAGATGAGTCAAACGTTGATACTACCTGTTGCTGTAGGAAACAAGCTAATTGACCGATTTTTAGTCCCAGAAGCTACATGCAATTCAAATGCTTGAACGAGAACGCCAAAGTCAGTTTCAACAATCGGATCTTTTTACGAAAGGCTTAACTTTATTTCTACGAACAACTAGCTGGTTCTTCTGTCATATTGCAGCTGAAATACATGGATCCACTGTGCGAAGGATTTCGAGAAAATGAAAGGAATGGGATTTAAATCATACAAGTACTGGTGAATGTAAACAGACATCAATAGCCTAGATTGGTGCAACAGAGAAGGCATAAGATAGCGTCCCTACAAAGCACGGCTATCGATTATGTAGGAAGTGCAAGAAGGTTTAGATGTTCTAAAATGAGAACTATTTCTACACGATTGGTAGAACACGCATGCCGTTATGCTACATTTTACGATGACCGCCATTAACGCAATGCCCCTATCACCAACGACTGCCTTCGTTTCAAGGCAGACAGCGTTATGGGTAAGTGAATAGTACAGGAAAGTGTATAGCGATGAGTCTCATTTATGTTTCACTGACTATCCCCGAGTAAGATTCCCGAGGCGACGGAAAGGCAGGTCATTTCTTCCCGCGATTGTTGAACGCCATATTATCTAACAGCTTAGCATCATCGTTTGGGTACCATCGCCATGGATAGTTGATTACTTTTGCTTCGTATATGAGGCACAATGACGGCAAGACGATACGTGTATGTAGAGCTGCAATTGGTTGCAAAATGCCGTTTTGCAGCAAGATAGCGCGTGATCGCACAAGGCAATCATCGGTAGATGAGCCCTGCAAGGTACCAAGATGCTTCCTTGACCAACGAGATCCATAGATCTCTCATGGATCGGACGCGATTTTACTTTTTTGGTTTGCCCTTGCCTCAATTTGAGAACGAACTGTGATGGATGGATTGCATTGTTTATCCGATCACTGTAGTGCAGTCTTTAAAATCACTTTATATGTATTCTATCTGCCAATTTTCGCCACATTCTTTTCACTGTCATGGTGCTGCATTTTCTGTCAGGCACTGTGTTTCTTTTAAGTGAGTAAATTATTCGCTGATCACATTTACATGGCAAAATAAAATAATATATAATATAGGCTCTCCAGCGGCTGAGCGGTAAAGTCGCTGAACACTGGTACTTCGGTTCGGAGCTCTATTGTCGGAGAATGGGCTGGCTGCATGGGCGTTTTTGTTTTTCCATTTGTAATGTGTGTACCAGCCAGTGTCCCTTAGCAAGTCCTCCGCGAACGCATTACTCCCTTTAGGCAGATAGCCCTTGATTGCTTTGCCATAATGAGCATAAACCCAAACAAAATGATTTATTCAAAGTTACGTAAGCATTTCTGAAAGTATTTCATTTGGGAAATGAAAATATGGTCTCCTAAATCGGGATACATTGAAACATTCAGTTCTGTTTTCATGTGCTCATTAAGCTCATTATGAAAATTCGGTATTGTATACGTAGTGTTGTTATTTTTGTAGTTACTAGAATAAATATAAAACAAGAAAGATTCGGTTAAAAATAATTCTTACATTTTTATACTCAGTAATCTGGTATTATTGCAATCGTATGAGGTATGCAGATTTTAGGTATTTGGGAAAAGCGAGAGGATACATTTGATATATTATTGGATGTTAGATATTATTTTCTAAACGTTTTTATAATTACAAATTCCAGCTTCTATAGCAAAACAGATTGATTCATAGCACATAGCATACTCTAGTTCGAGATTTTAATACTTGCGCAAAATTCAGTCTTTAAGCGGGAAATGTCATCACTGTCTTAAATTTTTAATTGAAGTTGGTAATAGGTAATATGAGTTAAAATTCATGCATCATATATGAGAAATAATTAGTAGTCCTAGTGCCGCTTTCAAATTATTCTGAAAACTGTCGAAGTACAGTTGTATCAGCCATCATGATACAACTCGCTATTAATGACCAAAGTTAATATCTGAATGAAAACTAGCTCGGCGCAACACTCTGGAGGTCGCAACTATTTCAATCGACAATTGTTCCCTACATTTTTAAATGCTTTTTGCATCATTTAATGGAGAGTAGTTGATCTGTAAGCTTCATACTTTTGAGCAGAAGTTCGCAGAAACACAGTTTACAGAAGTAATAGTGCTTACTTATAAGACGCTTTTAAATTGTGCTTATAAGTTGCATAAAAGACGAATGAGTTTCCTCCTGTAACTTTTAGGAATGCATCTTTAAATGATTTTCACCCATTTCCGCATAATCTATTAGGAGATGAAATGCTTTCCCCCCTCAAAGATTCATGGTTACTTGATTACGGAAAAGCTCACAGGATCCATCTGCCTAAGAACGGGATGATTTTCTCCATAAGAAAGTGTAGGTCTTTTTAAGGGTAACTTGATCGTATTCGCGTTATACGTGAAGAAAACCATGAAATCACCTATGCAGTCGGCCTGTTCACCCGGGATTCGACTCGATTTAAACTTGGCCGCTGGTGCGCCCTTTTTCAAGAAATGCTATGTATAGATCCACAATGCTGAGTCGTGTATTGATGTGGCACCAGTTCAAGAGAGCCAAGAGCCTTTTCGAAACCAAATTAACAGCAGTCCTAGAAATTATAGGCAAGAAATTAAGTACTTGAACGATTTTGGCTCTTTTAGCGATGAAATGTTTTCCAAGTCAGCAGAGATTTTGATTTCCGGAGGGTACTGGTTGGAAATCGCATTCAAAATTACATGAATTGCAGTTAGTCTTTGCCTCTAAATGAACTCTTCTACATAAAAGGGCAAGTTGCTTCCTTTGAACCAATTTGCAGTTCTTATTCTAATACTTATAGAAGCCGACAAGCTTCGGGCAGTAAAGTTGTTAAATTACTGGTACTTGCTCAGGTTTCAAATGCTGCGTAGGCATTTTCGTAGTTTTCTCCATGTGTGACGTAAATGCGAGCCAGTTTTCCTTGGAAAGTGCTCAGCGAAGAGATCTCCTTAGGCAGATAGCCCTCGGGTTGCTTTACCTTAATCGATTAACACGTTGCCGGCAGTTATTAAGGGTACATTTTCATCGTATTTTCCGTTATGTACAGTTTATTTTCGTGGGAAATGCTAAACATTCTCGATTGTTTGGCAAAACCTTGGAAATAACGGGTTTCTTCTGCTTTATTTCTTGGCAACTCTAGTAAATGAGTAACGAAAATTGCGGCAAAGATTAATATTCTAATAAATTACTTGGTAAAAGATGTAAAAAAGGTTTTAGATGCTCTAATTGGTCTGAAACTGAAAGGAAGGCATCAACCATTTACTTTCAGCTAGAAGGAAAAATTTCCCCTACCCATAAAAAATGGCATCTTTCTAAAAGAATATAAACAGCTTTTAAGGTTTCCACAACTCTTGCAGGAAAGAGTCAGACACAGGTCGTGCAAAAGTGTAAGCTGGCTAACTCTAAAATACCGAAATAAGTGTGAGAAAGTACATGAAAGATACAAAAGTAACTTTCTTTTCAATAGCGTTTTATTCCCGTTTCGTCCGTTTCCT